AAAAAAAATAATAATAATAATTAAAAAAAAAAATAACAAACCGTTGTTTCTCTTTTTTATAGATCGTCCCCTCACGAAGGACATATTTGAATTGTTTAAAACATTAAAGATAACTGGAGGTTTTCTTGTAATTGATTTAAAAATGTAGGTGTGTTTTCTGTAAATCTTTTCAATGTTTTACAGTTTCACTTCTGTAATTTGGAATTATACTTAATATAGGTTGATTGTTTTCATGTATGGATAGTGAATCATTTAGGGAAACATAAGCATACACAACCTATAAATGCTGACAAAATTCACTTTTACAGGAAGCAAAACTGAAGCTTATTCAGAATGAGCTACTTGTAAGAGTCTCTTCAGTCTTCTCCCTTTCTATTGGCTGCGCTATTTCTTATTTGTAATTTTGCAGTTTAATTTTCCCGTGCAGACGGCCCGTGGTCAGATCGAGCAAGCCCGAAAATCCGCCAACCTGACATCAGCCTCCTCAAAACCGCAGAACGAAAATCCGAAAGAATCACTAGTTTCCCTGAACCCAAGCCCAAGCCCAAGCCCGCCGGCCCAGCCCATGACCACATTCGCAAATCCCACCATCAGCCAAGAGGAGAGCAACCGGGCCCAAGCTGCTGCTGTTGCCGCCAAGCTGGCAGCCTCGACCTCGTCGGCCCAGATGCTCTCATCCATACTGTCCTCCCTCGTTGCTGAAGAACTAATGAATGGGCCCCTCAAAAGGCCCAAGTTGGAAAAGCCCGCGACTCAGATAACCCTTGACGAGCCCAAACAGCCCGACCCATCCCATTTTCAGGGGGTCTCGGGCCTGTCTCCACTCGTCCAGCCGTTTCTTCCTCCCCCGCCCGGTTTTCCGGCTGTTCAGTTGGCTCAGCCGAGTTATAGCTTCGGTGCGGGCCCGTTTGGGATGCAGGGCACTCAGCAGTTGCCACCTGGCGCGAACGGCGGGTATTACGGGCCACCGCCTGTGAATCGCCGGTGAGCTTGTTAGCATTCTTCTCTAGCTGGGCCGGCGCGTAATATTTAGTTAACACTGTCGATGGCGGGATTTTTTTTCTTTTCGAGAGGTTTGTGTATAATACAGTTGTTCAGTTTGCGGAGGATCATCGGTTTTTACGAATATGTATGCTAAGGTGAAGTTGTGATTGGCCGGAATTTAATCTTGTCGGCTTTTTTTGCCCTTGGCTGTAATCGCTAGGAGATGATACATTGCCAAGTATACAACTAAGAAATGATACATTGCCAACCTATATATATATTTTCACTTGTGTTGTCAACCTAGTTGTACACTAGGTTGACAATGTCGCATTTCCCTTAGTCGCTAACGATATCTCTTGCATGTGTTGGGTCGGGTTGTATCGACTTCTATGTATGTTGGGAATATTGCAGTTTTAGTCCACATTAACTTTGTGTGTTTCATTTCGGCCAGTAACTCATTGGGTCCAAATTTGCTTCAATAACTCAACAATTTTAAGTCAATTTGGCCCAATAACTCTAAAATTAAGGTTTATTGGACCAATTTTAGACCAAATAACTCTTCCAGCGTCCGAGATGACTGAATTGGCTAAGATTGAAGAGTTGCTGGACCGATTTCGAATCCCAATATTATTGGGAAAAAAATGGGAAACACCCAAAGTTAGTGGACAAATACTGTAATTTTTCGTAGTTTTTTACTCTTGAAATGTGTCTTCTCTCGTTGGTCGGCCAAGCTCGGTATCAACAGCCAATTCGAGACATCGGCTTAGATTTTTTTCGAACACAGACAAGAAAAACCATTTCAAGCTAGTTTTCACCCAGTTGCCAAAGAAACTCATTTCAAGCTTGTGAATAGACATACCAAAGTGCTTCAATAATTACCAATATTCAGTACATAAGAAACAATTGGGATATGAACTATAAAGATTGATTCTGAAATCTGAGAAAATTCTCAGGCACAGTTGATTTTCGTTTTCTTTTCAAGCATCATTAGAAGTATTCTTCTGCTTATCCTCGTCCGAGGATTTCAGGTCCCATCTTTTCAGACGTGCCGAAGTTTTCAAGACCTGTTTGTAATCATAGAAGCATTGTTAACAAAATGTCGAATGATGAATGATCGATCAACAGGTCAATTAGTAATCCTCGCGCGAGTTTTTCGTTATTTTTTTTTTTTTTTCGATTTTACCTCTTCATCCCAGTTTGTTTTCCATGTCAGGAATGCGAGTAAGATTGTCTGAATCACTATGCCCAAGGTCAGTCCAATCCATATGCCCTGTGAACAACAACTATCCACTCATTTTGATTATAAAGAAGCGCGTTTTTTTTTTCAAAATCGGTTTTGCTTATAAACGACAAAAATATGAAACGGAATCTAACCAACTCGGAATTATCAGCTTGTAACTAGCACAAAAGCTCATAGTTCTTGTGCATTGAGTTAATTAAATAATTGTCACTCAGAAAAATGCATATCCATTACCACAACTTGAAGATGCACAACATATCCGAGCGTAATTCCAACCGGGAGCCCGACCATATAAAAGCAAACTAAATTGATAACCGCGACTTTTGTCTGCAGGCCTGCTCCTACGGCCACGCCTGAAAAGAACAAAAGAAAGAAAAAAGGAATTATCAGGTCATGTTCGAAACAAAAGACGAGTAGTGTAGAAAAAAAAAAAAAAAAACTAACTAACTAACCGGAAAGCACTGGAAAAATGCTGGCGAGCAGCATTGTAAACGCGAGCAGGAGAGAAAGATCCGACACGCTCTGTGCAACTTGTTGGTCGTCGGTGAACAAATATCCGATTTTATCTCTGAAGACCAAACAAATGATCCAAAAAAATATCCCTATTGAAAATGAGGTGCTTATGAGCACTCTGATCGAGAACTTCACGGCCTTGGCGTCTCCTCTACCTAGCTCATTCGCGACCCGCACACTATTTTTCGTTTTATTTTCGTGTAAATGATAAATTCAGTGAGATGAGAATGCCATACTATCATTATTATTGTTATTAGTATTTTTATTTATTTTTCGTGTTTTGCATGATAGAGTTCATTACCATGCGGCGCCCATGAGGCCGACGATGATCATGGTCACCGAACCACTGATATTAAGGCTGGCAAAAAAAAAAAAAAAAAGAGATGATTTTTCGATCAGTAAAGATTAATCTCGATGGTCTGTTCTTAAGTAAGGTATAGCAGTTTTTCTCCGGAGAGCTATAGCGGTTTTTCTACCGAGAGCTCACCAAATCGAGAAGGCGGATATTGCTGTTTCAGCATTTTCGAGATATCCAGCGAGCAGCACCAAAATTGCATAGTACCACAATTCCAGGCTAAAAAAAGAAAAACAAGACAGTAAAGATTATATGTTAACCACAAAGAATCACATTAATTTTGGAAAATCACAAATAAATGAAGAGCCAAAAATGTGGAAATTCTGCAGAGTTTAATGTTGTTAAATTAAACGAGTCTGGCTCGGCTTGTTTGATAAACGAGCC